AAACTTTAACAATAGATAATGTAAAAAAAAAAAAAGAGATTGGCAACAAACTGAAATCATTTTAAGCTGAAACAATAAAATTGGAAATAAATCAAAACTAAAACTGAACTAAAATGGAAAAAAAATAACAATTAGACCTAAAGAAAAGAAAAATAAATAAATGATGAAAATAACAAAAATGACTAAAAATTAAACAAAAATTAAAATGAATTCTAAAAAAAAAATAATAATAAATAAATAAAGACTATTCAAAAATATGAATAAAAGCAATATTATTACATAAATAATACTAAAATAATGCAGATATAAAATAAACGTTACAATCTGTACCTGTAGTTGATGAAACACACACTAAAAAATGTAAAATGTGTTGTGTCAATTTACAGTATAATCTTGATACTACTATTTGCTGTGCTTAACAGTAATCTCTTCTATTATACTGAGATATCCACAGTACTATGCTGGCTTTAGCTTCCCAGCATGCACTAGGGCATAAATAAATGACGTTGTTGAATTTTTAACTATTTGTTGGGTGATTCGGCTGTTGCTGTCTTTGTATTCACTTTATGTTATACATGTTTGGTAATGTTCAGAGTTTATTTTGATTGTCACCATGTGCAACAGTATTTTGCTAAACTCATTATTTCCTTTAACTGTTCATACAAGATTATGTTATTTCTGTACTTTAACATTCCATATTGCCAAATATAATATAAACTGTAAGAGTTAAGATCTAATCATAATGTCTGGCTGCTTGTCTCCATGTTAAACAATGCAACGAATTGTATTCTGTAACACAATTACACTGGATGGGAGTGGATGGGAAATTAATTCAAAGTTAAGAACTTCGCTGCTAAAGGGAATGTTAATTATCATAATGAAAAGGAAGACAACTATTTGTACTATTATCTCACAATGCAGCACGGTTATCTTTTTTTCCACAGTATTTTGTCGTGTTAGGACAGAAAATGGCACTGATTTCACTTTAAAATTCAGAAAATAAGAGTTCAATCTTGTAAAATCCTGACGTTTTTTAAGAGTGTGGGTGCAGAGAGTGTGTATGTGTGTGCGTGCGAGCATGTGGGGGAGGATTTTAACTAGAACTCCCAAATCCAATTTTCAGGTGCACATCTAAAGGGGCGACCTCGAATGCAAACAGCGATCCCCCCGCCACCTACCCCTCTACCCTTTTCCCTTCACGTTGACACCAGACAGCACCCCTCCCCACAGACCCTGCTGGACAGCCCCCAAAACCCCCTCCATCCCACTAGCAGCACCACAACACTATATGAAAAAGAATATGAGCAGGCATGAATTTTAATGCAGTCGCTCATCTCAGCCAAGCAGCCTCACTTCTGCAGTGGAAATAAATAAAGAGGGGGAAAAATACAGAGAACTGATAGATGAATCTCAAATCAAAAGGAGATAGAGCGGAGAGCATATAGGCAGAAAGACAAGGGTGATGGGGGAAAAAGAGAGAAAGCGAGAAAGAAATGGCAAAATAGTAGAAAGGAGAAAGACAGAGCGAGAATGAGAGGTGAAATCTCATCTCTTGGCTGAATAATCTGTCATTCATCAAACTGATAGAACAGAGAGAGTTGGAACAGCCGTACAACCAAATAAAGGCAGAGGATGGGAGTTTCGGATTTGGTCTGGCTCGCTCTCTCCATCTTGAGTTGAACGGCTCTAGCTATCATGCCTACATCTACATCTTTCTCTTTTGGTCTAAATATTGCATGAATAATGCATGGGTCTAGGTTTCATTAAAACCTCTCTTATTAATAATATTGCTCGTGGTGGAGTATGGGAACAACGGATGTGTGTGTGTGTGTGTGTGTGTGTGTGTGTGTCTGTGTGTGTGTGTGTGTGTGTGTGAAATGAAAAAACGTACCATCCTGCAGACGCTCACGATTGCATTCTGTCTGAAAATCCTGAAAAATGTTACCACTAATATTCAGCACTAACCAGCTTTCGAATCAAAAAGCCAGTGGCGGTAAGAGGTAAACAAACCGATAGGAAGGCAATTTCAGCCAAGCATCGAGCCAGATAACTCTGGGAGGCAAATGGGCATGATTTCACAAGGACACTGCAATGTTACCTTGTCTTTGTCAGGGAAAACGGCTATAGACTGAACACAACTAAGCCATAAGGAGTGGAAGATCTCAATACTGATACTTATACATGACTTCATGATACAGTGTGCACTGCAAAAAAAAAAAAAATCCTAATCAGTATTTTGGTCTTTTTGTACCAGTAAAAATAGCAAAACTAAAAATTTTAAAAACATGATCAATTTTACTTGTTCAGCAAAACTGTGTAAGACTTATTTTCAAAGATTATATAATGTTTTAAGCATAAATTAAAAAGTTTGGAGTCAGCACGTTTTTTTTTTAAGTAAATTAATACTTCAGCAAGGATGCATTAAATTGATCAAAAGTGACAGTAAAGTTACAAAAAATTATATTTCAAAAAAACGTTCTATTCATCAAAGAATCCTGAAAAAAGTATCACCATTTCCACAAAAATATGAAGCAGCACAACTGTTTTCAACATTGATAATAATAAGAAATGTCTCTTGAGCAGCAAATCAGCGTATTAGAATGATTTCTGAAGGATCATGTGACACTGAAGGCTGAAAATTCAGCTTTGCATCACAGGGATAAATTACATTTTAAAATATATGCAAATAGAAAACAGTTGTTTTGAATTGCAGTATTTCACAATATTACTTATTTTACTGTTATTTTTGATCAAATAAATGCAGCCTTGGGAACATAAGAGACATCTTTCAAAAACATAAAACAAAATCTTACCTACTCCCAACTTTTGAACGGTAGTGCATATAAGATATTGCCGTAATTATTATTTGTATACTATAATATTGAGTTTCAATATAATATTTGTAATTAATATTTTTCATGTATTTCAAAATAAATTGTCTTAAATGTTGTCTTAACCATGAAACTGTCAAATAGTGAGTATGTGATACATTCATATAGAAAAGTCATTTTAAATGATATAAACATATGCTGTTTTTACTGTTTTTTTGAGCAAATAAATTATAGCCTTGGTGAGCATTCAAGAAAACACACACACACAAACACACACACACACACACACACACACACTTAAACATTTTACTGACCCCAAACGTTTGAATGGTATTGCCAATGAGGTAAGAAATGCATTAATGTAATATTTTGCTTCTCAGGTAAATGTATCTTGTTTTCAGGACATGTTTCCTGGAAAATGACAAAATACTGATTACAAAAACTGCAATGTGAATTATTGTAATGCATATGTGAGATGATTAATACCCTTTTCCACCAAAATGGTGCTGGTGCTCGGGGACGTCTCTCTGAATCGTACCACATTGTTACTTGAGAGCCGAATGATAAAGTATCTGCTACTACTTTTTCAGAAAGATTTTTTGGCACATCACATTCAAATCCATTTAGTCTGAACAGGGGAAAAAAATGTAATCAGTGTTTATAAATGCATCTCAGTCCATCAGATTTCAAATCATTGTGTTCTTTTTGTCATTGGCCATTATGTGTACGTAACACTATTACATATGAGTCGGCAGTTTTGGACACAGTATATGCATGAATGTGTAAAACATGCCTCGTGACTTTAGCACCGTGGTGAGATGTCAAAAAATACATGAACAGAGTATCATGTAAAAAGTTCAGTTTTCTATTGTGTTTTTCCACATTGCTAGCTGCTCTTCGTTGTTCTATGAGAAAGTCTCTTGACATCACGCTGACTCATTATATCATAACTATAGCAGCTGATGTAGATATGGATATTGACAACAGTGCTTCAACAAACGGATCCAATTTCATCACTTGCAAAATGACAGCGCGGTCACCGAATCCAAATCGGATTTGAGTGCAGTGTGAACACAATCTTTTTTAGAAGTCTTTTGCTTTGTTTGTGTCGTGTGGTAATTACCATAATTACAAGATGACAAGTCGAAGATTCTACTGTGTTAACGTCTTCAGAACCAGATATTCATTTCTATGGAAACCCATATAATATAGCGTCAAATGGATCAAGGCTTTGTTGTTGATGACAAAATACTAGTGCTGTCAAACGATTAATCGCGATTAATCGCATCCAAAATAAAAGTTTTTGTTCATATAATATATGTGTACTGTGTATATTTATTATGTATATATAAATATGCACTCATGCAGTATATGTTTTGAAAATATGTACATGTATATATTTATATTTATATAATTTATATTATATATAAATATATTTAATATACAAATATAACATATTTTACTTAAATGTATACATGCGTGTGTGTGTATTTATATATACATAATAAATATACACAGTACACACACATATATTATGCAAACAAAAACCTTTATTTTGGATGCGATTAATCGCGATTAATCGTTTGACAGCACTACAAAATACTTAATAACGATGTTAATTCACCACAAGAACAAAGAAGGAAGAAAACTGTTAATATTATAGGAGTTCAATATATAAAGAATAAAATTCATAGTAATCAATTCACACATATTTGTAAATAAAATCTTTTTATTTCAGACAGATGGGGAAAATAAAGTTGCTGGAGTAGCATTGCAGCACAACAAAATTAGGAACAAGAGGACAAAACAGGGTGTCAACTGCTGCATTGCGCAATTCCAGTCAGCTCTGTTGATTATAATGAACGATCTAGTTCGGTCATGAGTAGTTTTGTAAATTTTAAGTGAATACCGCCCCTGGTTCCTGGCGATAACGGTGCCTGGTTTAAGACCAGCAGGATTAAGAGGCCGAGTCAATTTGGTCCAGGCCAGAAGCACCTTTCATTCATTGGAAATGCGTGGAACAGGGCTAGATTGGACAGCGGCTCCAGCACCAGCACCGGGGTCAGTGGAAAAGGGGTATGAGAGTGGGTGAGTTGTGTTAGAATAGTGGTACTCTGTGGGTTGTGGTATGAGTGTGTAATCCATGGCTGAGGCTGATGCTGCGCTCACGTTTGTGGTTGTTCTTGCGCTGGAAGGGCAGCGTGTGCCGTTCGGAGTCTTCCTCACCCTCTTCGTCTGCCAGGTGTGTGTGAGTGTAATGGTAACTCAAACCTGGACGGTTCTTGTAGCGCTTCCCACAAACTAAACACAAAGAAATACAGAAGGAAACAAAAAGGCAGTCAAAAAAGTGTAATAATGTGTACAACTGTTTGGTTAATTTTGTCATGAACAAAAAGCATCAATTATAAGTATTATTATATTTACATTATTATTAATAATATTATTAATATTCTATGATTTTATTTACTATCAGTTATTTTTAATTAATTGCAAATTAATTTCATTTGAATGTAATAGCTAAAAATTACTCATAAGTATTATTAATAAAATAAAGTATAATAAAAAATGTAATTTAATAAACATTACTCATAAGTATTATATTTGGATAATAATAATTGTATTATATATATATATATATATATAATTTATTAAACTATCACTAATTTGAAATGAATATTATAATATATATTATACGTATTATGTTTGTATAATATTTGTGTCATTTGTGTATATAAACATTTCAGCTGTTATTGCCCAAGAGAAAAGATACAGTTACAGATAACAGTAGGGAATGTTGGGAACACTATGCAGGATAAGTCGCCACAATAAAAAACTTGACATTAAACATCCTATTATCAGGAGAATTGCATTTTACATGTATATATGGCTATATGGTACTTTTATTACCCGTTCTACTATTGCTTTCCCCATGCTGGTTTTAATAATGAATATAGAAATCTGTTCTGTGATCATTTGTTTATTATCGCATGATACTCACTGTCACACACATATGGCTTGTCTCGATCCTCTAGGGATGCTGGTTCCTGTCTCTTTCTCATCCCCCCAACACCACATGCCTGGACATATCAAAAATTGCATGTAAACACACACACAGATTAATTTACAGTTGGCAACCAGGTGCGGCTAGAGATCCATTGTTATTTTGGCCTTGCGGAGCCCCCATCCCACTTCCTTCTTCGAGCTTTAAGCAAATCCTCTTACACAGCATTAATTACACACAATTATCACAGCATCTCTTCCACACATTGCCGGATAACTATGTGGGGTGTGAGAGATCTTAGAGGAAGTAGTGTGCCTCAATTAACAGCACAGAAGGTGAGAGATTCTAGGGACTGAATCGAAGACATTCTGTTTGTTATCCTTGTATGTATTTCCTCTATACTAGAGTACTGAAACTTGCTTTTCTGTCACGGTTGTGCACCATACATTGCCCTGTAAATTCCATGGCTGATTTTGAATTAATGTAGCAAATAAGATCAACAGTTGTCATTCAAATTTGAAAGCACATATAAGTAGAATTAAGATTAAAATGAATTATTATGTTATTAATCATGAATATTAAAAAAAACCCTAAAGAAAACTGTATTGTATTATATTATATTATAAATAGATTTAAATTTTAATGTCAATTTTTATTTCACAAAGTTATCTGAAAATAATGTGGTTGCCATTTTCATATTCATATCAAAATTCATCATATGCCATATTTAAATCCACGTGTCCCATCTTATTTCACTCTTGAATCGTGTATTTCATGTCTTGAATGCATTTCTGCACAGAACCACTTACAATTCCAGCCTTTCATGTATGTGAGGTTGTAATTACAGATGAACTTAGCCATGTTTTCAGTGTGCTATCACACATCAGGTCTTGTCTTTAAAGTGGTATTAAAGGATGTTTTTCATAGCTGTTTGGAAAGAGCTGCTTTGAATCAACACAAAACCAGTAGAACGCAATGATGAAAGGTATGCAGGGATCAAACCTGGATATGTTCTAAACAGCCATAATGGATCAATGGCTGATGAGCTACAATAGCCTGCTTTGTTCAGACAGCAGCCTTGAAGAAACAGAAATCCTAGATTAAACAAAGACCCTGCAGGGCTCACTGCAAACCTGTGATATATTAAAACAAAACCTTGGGTTGTGGATCTAATTGCTATAGAGCAGAGGTTCTCAACTGGTCAATTGCAACCCGAAAATGTGTGGCGGGTATATTCTGACAGCAGGAAACAAACAATACTGAATGTAAATAATAAAATGCATCAAACCATATGATAGTGCATAGTTAGGATAGCAAAATCGCTTATCAACTTCTAAAAGACTGTAATGCTTAAATGCTTTCAGTATTTTTGTTGTTGTTGACATTTAAGATTGTACGTCTAGTCAAACTCCAGAAAATCCATCTATTCACATTCAAACCACTAAAGGTAGACAAAAATATGACTCAGACCCATGTACATTTGGCTTGGCACTTGATGCCCGATGCTAAAATGATTTCTGAAGCAAAACCAGTTGAGTCTTGTGAGTAATCAGCCTACAACTGTATGATTCACTCTAATATTAGTATGATTCATACTAATGAATTAGTGACTGCAGAACATGTTATAGCTGCATGTGTTGTACCCGTCCTTTGGTGCGATTCTTGCGTTTGGGAACATCCTCCTCCATCTCATCCATGTCCAGCTCGTGAGGAAAATCTCCCACCAGCAGCTTCTGTGACCACAAGGAAAGACCAGCACATACTGTATGAGTCAGCTGTACTGTTTGAACAACTCTAGAATGTCAAACAAGCTGGAAAGACGAGTGCGAGAATAACAGAGCCTAAGAAAAACTACATGGAAAATATGTTTTATATTAGTTTACATCAAACAATAGCTTGTAATGGCATTAAGCAATTCATGCAAGTTTACCCAGTGGACAGATAGTTAGTGTTGCTTGAATAAACACACACACACACAGGTCTAGCTGAAACAGTCCTTTTAACATTTAGGTTACCTTTGTTGTCATATAATGGTGCAGTAATGGTAAATGTGAATAATGATAAATTTCAAGTATCATTAATGTGCATCATGCGGTGAGTTGCACGGCAAAGGTTTTAGGGTAAATACCTAGGGTTAAGAGTTTGTTCAGATTATTAACAGTGTCTACACCGGATACAAACGGTGCGACACAACATGCCAAAAGCAAACAGAACCCATTAAAATGAGTAATGCAGCGCAGTGTCAATGACGTGACGATACGCAGCTGAAAGTAAACCCCATTTCTGATGTACTCCACCCATTTGCTGTACTTCCAATAATACCAGCCAGAGCAAACTTTCCTGGCAAGCTGTTTCAAACTCCGGAAAACGAACATCATTTTGGCATGTTTTTATTCGAAATGACAGCACACCGTTATTGTTTTGTTTTGGTTTGGTTTGTTTTTTTTTCTTGATTTTGCTTGAAGTATACTGAGGCCTTAGCTGTTTTTGTTCACACCAGTTCGTTCTTCGATTTCAATTGATGTGTATGGTGGTGTTAACTGTTTTTGTTCTAAATGAAATCACACCAGTTCATTCTTCGATTTCTCTTTAAAGGCTAATTCACACCGCACAGACGAACGCCAACAAACACCATCAAACAAGTTGGCTGTTGGATTTAGAATTTTATGAAAAATAGCTGTAATGTTCACAGACACTGACAAACTTCGAGTCAAAGAGTCAAGTAACACTGTGTCTAATGTTACACCGGACACGACAGTTGCTATACGCTGCCTACACTGGATGCGACAAAGCGACCGTTGCAAATCATTTGTACTTGTCAGTACATCATAAATAGAACGAGACATCAGTTTACTGTCGGGGATTTGTCATGTTGCACAAATCAACATGCAGCACCGCATCCAGTGTAGACAGAATCACTGAATATAATAGGTTCTATTGTATTTTGTCGGGTCACGCCACGCCGCTCGCATCCGGTGTAGACACGGTGTAAGACTGACTGGGGGAAAAGTGGATGATCCTGTAACCACAATCAAAATTTTAATGTTATTAATGTCTTTGCGTGTCATTCTTCGCCTGAAAAGACGGCGAATAAAACGAAAGAGGCCGCGGGTGAAGCTCGCTTTAAGTGAAGTATGTGCATCGTCATGGCAACAGTTCATGGCCAGGTCAGATTACGTCAGAGTTTGTTGTCGTCTGTTGGAAAATCATGTCACACTGCTCAGACATTCCACGACACAACAAACGCCGATTTAACATGTTCAGTCGTGTGAAAACAAACTCCGACCAACAGCAACGAATGCCGACAAGGGTAACACACTGATCTAGCAAACTCCGACAGACTTGTTTGTTGGCGTTTGTCCGTGCGGTGTGAATTGGCCTTAAGTATAGCTGTTAGCTGTTTTTGTTCGAAATGACGTCACACCAGTTAGTTTTTTATTTCGTTTGAAGTATATCATGGCCTTGGCGGGTTTTTTTTTTCCAAATGACGTCACACCAGTTTGTTCTTCGATTTCATAGGACATTAAAATGTGGGATAAAAGTATTTGGAACGTTCGCTTTGACATGTCCCGTGTAGACAAGTATATCGAGGCCTGTTTTTGTTCTAAATGATTTCATACTGGTTCGTGCTTTGATTTTGATTGAAGTATATCGGGAACTTAGCTGTTTTTTTCCAAAATGAAATCACACCAATACGTTCTTCGATTTCGCTTGTAAATCAGGCCTCTAGTTGTTAGCTGTTTTTGTTCGAAATGACTTCACACCAGCTAGTTCTTTGATTTCGTTTGAAGTATATTGTGGCCTTGGCATTTTTAAAAAAACTTTTCAATTGACGTCACACCAGTTCGTTCTTCGATTTCGCTTTAAGTATTCAGTACCATAGCTTTTTTTTTGTTCGAAATGACATCATACCAGTTCGATCTTCTATTTCGCCTGGAGTATTTTGGGGCATTGACCATTTTTGTTTGAAATGACGTCACACCAGTTCGTTCTTTGATTTCGCTTGAAGTATATCAGGGCCTTAGTTGTTTTTGTTCAAAATGACATCACACCAGTTTGTTCTTTGATTTCAGATGAAGTGTATCAGGGCCTTAACTGCGATGACTGCCTAGCAAGTGCACAACTGTAAGCACACTCATAATATGTGGCTGTGGGAAGTGAACAGAGGTAGCAGGGTGGCACACAGCTTTTTAACTCCTGCAGAGGCCTGAGGCAAAACAAGCAGCAGGATCACAGGTCCGCTCCCAGGGGACGAAGTGTTCTAAAGAGTGACTCTTAATTGAAGTGCTAATTGGTTAACTGTCCACCCCTAGGATAGATGTCATGTTGTGTGCAAAACAGTGAGGGTGCTGACACTAGTGACAGCTCCATCAAATGACAAGCTGGTTCATTAGGATCTATAAGCATTCGCACCTCAACACGGTCAAATGTAATACCTGTAAACCCAGAGACATTGAAAATGTGCAACCGTTCTCCGCAAAATCAATACATCTTCGTCAAACGTACTGACACAGACACACACAAAATAACAAAAATACACTCACAAACATACACACTTTGTGGTTAACAAGGAAGTCTGCCAGTGGGGGTGTGTCAGCCCTGCAGGGATTTGTGTTACTGCCAAAAAGAGACACAAGTACTACAGAGAAATCAGAAGGGGAGAGACAGGAAGAGAGAGGAAGACGGCAATAGAAAGCAGAAAAGAAATGCAGAATGGAGAGGCGGGAAGTACTAAAAATGACAATGTCTTAGTGTGTACTTCATGGCAGAGTGTGTAATACAACTCTTTATCTAGTTGACTATTGAGTGTGTGTCTACAAAACCATTCTAGGGGGAGCAAACCACCGTTGAGGAATCTTTTTTACCTGGCATTCACTCATGGGTTCCTCCTCCTTTGTTTCAACCTTCTTATCCAGCAGTTCTCCACTGAGGAGTGACTCCAGAACGGGACCCTCAGGAACACCCCCTTCCTTCTTTAGTGCTGCTTCATAGTCTGGACACACACCGTAAACAACTGTCACACCAAGGCGTTTCTAGACAACTCATAAAAGACCAGGCCAGACAGTTTTTCTGTCATTTGTTTAAAGTCTTAAAGTAAAGAAAAGGTACAATACCGTTAACGGTCTCACACAAAACCTGTAATTTGATGAGAAATTACAGACTTGTAGAAGCTATAAACCACTATAAACCACACCAAAAATAATGTATCTCATGTATTTCTGTTCAAACTGATTCTGCAAAACCAAGTGTCCCAAGCAAGGGCGTATTAAATTGATCAAAAGTGGCTGTAAATACATTTATAATGTTACAAAAATGGTTTCAGCATTGATACATTTTTTTTCGTGAGCAGCAAGTCAGCATATTAGAATAATTTCTGAAGGATCATGTGACATGGGAGTAATGGCTGCTGAAAAGTCACCTTTGACATCACATTAATGAATTATATTTTAAAATATATTAAAATAAAAAAACAGATATTTTAAATTGCGATAATATTTCACAAAATCACTCTTTAATTGTATTATTAACCAAATAAATGCAGGCTTGGTGAGCATAAGAGACTTCTTTCAAAAATGTAACAAAAAAATCACTAATCAATTATTTTTGGGTTATTTGTGGATTTTTTTATTTTTTATAAATTGGTCTGTTTAAAATTAAATTCAGACCAAGTAAATACAATAAGTTTCTGTTTTTCTTTAGCTGACTAGAATTTATTTTTAATAAATAATTTGTTTTATTAGGGTCGTGTGAGAATACATGATTGTCATATAAAAAAAAAAATCCCAGTTACCCCCCCCCAACCCCCCCAAAAACCCAAAAAAACAAACAAATCAAAAATGTAACAAAAAAATCACTAATCAATTATTTTTGGGTTATTTGTGGATTTTTTTATTTTTTATAAATTGGTCTGTTTAAAATTAAATTCAGACCAAGTAAATACAATAAGTTTCTGTTTTTCTTTAGCTGACTAGAATTTATTTTTAATAAATAATTTGTTTTATTAGGGTCGTGTGAGAATACATGATTGTCATATAAAAAAAAAAATCCCAGTTACCCCCCCCCAACCCCCCAAAAAAACAAAAATGCATCACAGATTTATGTTTGCCTTTCTCAATACCAACTCTCACCGATTTTAAACTCGATGGGTCTAAGACGTGGATCCTCTAAGATGTTTAACCGTCTCTTCTTTCTCCAGCAGCGTGCAGGATAGGTATAGAGCTGCCCTGGAGCCACACCTGGGTTAAAAAAAAGAACCAGGGTCATTGCAAATACATCCAAAACCTCAACCTTACAACAAAATCACCTGTGTAGCATGATACACTGTACACATAGACACACACCTGGCCCACGATGGGTCTTCTCCATCCATATGTAGCAGTTACTTTGTGCTACGCCTGTTTGGGAGTCGAGAAAAGGCAGGCGCATGGAGCGTTCAGCACAAAGTCGAGCATTATAACTGCGGCAGTGCTCAATGGCATCACGGTAAAACTCCTCACCAAGACTGGAAAGAATTAAAAAGGGGGAATGTGTTACAACAAACACATGAATCTAAGTATATTTGATTTCAGTGCTCAAAAAACAATATTTATTATTTAAAGGCTCCATGAAATCAAAATTTTAGTTTAATCCATGTGTTTGAAGCATCTACATGCTAGTAAACACTTAAAGGTTAACTAATTCATATTTTAGCACATAAATGCATTCAAAATTTAGTCTTTCCCTTCTGGGAAATTAGAGCAAAACATATTGATGAGTCATGTTGCGCTAAAAAAAATTCTGTCCAAGTAACTTCAATGGGTCTTTAATTTTTCAGCCATCTTTGCAGAGAACTGTTTGTACTGACATGCAGGAGGTAGCCTAAATAAAATTCTTGGCTAGCATCTAATTAGGAAATAAACATCTCATTTTCAGCTCTGTTAGAAACATACCGAATGTGCATTGCAATATACTGTACAGAATCTCACTCATGTGTTAGGAATCGCTGTTTAAAAACACTGCAGCGTGAGAACAGTGGTATGAATTAATGGTTCATGTGCCAAAAAAGAGCGCACTCAACAGTTCTGTCCTCAAGAGTATGTTTGCATGCTCAAAACTGGTCAGGACAAAAGTACCAAACAGTGATTTTATTGCTGAGGCTGCACTCAGAAATCTGCTTAGCAAACTGCTATATTTGTAAAACAACTGCAGCAACTGTTATATATTGCTTTACAGATCAGTAGTTGATTTACACTCAAATTTGAATATATGAAAACATATGACTCAACGTTTAATGAGATTTTTTTTTTTACTTTTGCAGAGGTGGATGGGAGGCTCCTTTGTGAAAAAGAAGTGCACTTGATTGAATCAAATCTTAAAAGTATCTTTTAAAAAAACTGTAATTGCATAATACATATACATATGTGACCCTGGACCACAAAACCAGTCTTAAGTCGCTGGGGTATATTTGTAGCAATAGCCAAAAATACATTGTATGGGTCAAAATTATTGATTTTTCTTTTATGCCAAAAAATCATTAGGACATTAAGTAAAGATTATGTTCGTTAAAGATATTTTGTAAATTTCCTACGGTAAATATATTAAAACTTAATTTTTGATTAGTAATATGCATTACTAAGAACTTCATTTGGACAACTTTAAAGGCGATTTTCTCAATATTTAGATTTTTTTGCACCCTCAGATTCTAGGTTTTCAAACTTGAATCTCGGCCAAATATTGTCCTATCATAACAAACCATACATCAATGGAAAGCTTATTTATTCAGTATATAAAAGCAGTATATAAAATAAAGCTTATTTATTCAGTGTATTAAATCTCAATTTAAAAAAATTGACCCTTATGACTGTCACGCTGCTGCTGCTACTGTGACGGAGCGAAGGAGCGAGGAGACGTAGGGAAATTCTTGAAACAGTCTTTATTAATCCAAACCAAAGCAAAGCACATGTAGCAGAGGGGATAGACGAACAATACCGGACGCTAGACATGGAAAAACACAGGGCTTAAGAACTTAAAACCAAATGAGACACACCTGGAATAAATAACATCATAAACATAGGAAACACCCGAGAACAATGAACATAATTACCATGGGAGAAACTGGGTAATGGAAATCTCGTGGGGGAGGAAAACACAAGACACGGAACACAGGACTGACATTACTCCCCCCTCCCGGAAGGCGCGTCCACGTGCCACACAACATCCAAAGGGGAGGGGGGGTGGCCGCTCTGGAGGCCCCTCAGGATGGCAGGCCTCCAGAATGGTACCCGTTCATGTTTTTTGATTCATATTTATTAATTTAACCGTTAAAACAGAGTCTAGAAAAATTTAAATGGAAAAAAAGGGGGCCATGGCGGAGTAGGGAACTCAGGGGGCCATGGCGGAGCAGACAGTTCAAGAGGACATGGCGGAGTAGGGAACGCAGGGGCCCATGGCGGAGCAAGCAGTGCAGGAGGCCTGACCTCGGCACTCAGCCCAACCTCTACGGACGGATCCCTATAAGCCCCCCCCCCCCCAAAAAAACCTTGGGGGAAAA